AAAAAAAACACAAAAAATCATAAAACTAATAATTTGAAACCTATGTAGGGGTGCCATTGGCAATGGCTAGGGGTGCCATTAGCCCACCCCAAAAGAAAATGGTATAAAAGAGCGCCTTTGATACATGCTATAATTAGAGGCTAGGCTGGGGTTGATTTTTGTCATCATTATGTACTACCCCATATATATATATATATATATATATATATAAGACAGAGTGTGTATTATTATACAACCCTTTATATTTGTATAATTAATACAACTCAATCTCAACCGTTCATTTAATTTGATGAATATATGATTTAAAAAAAATTTAGATTGTTTTATAATATAAAGTATTGATTATAATTAATGAACTCTAATCATCTTTCATAAATATTCAAAACATAATAAATGAACTCTTATTATTTCTATAACATCTCAATTGATTGAGTTGAATTGGCTGTACAAATGGACATGGTTGCATTTGAAATATACCTTATATATATATATGTATATAAATAACTTATCATGTAAATTTTAAATGACAATTAAGAAAAGTGTGCTAGAGAAGGATATGATGGCTTATGAAGAGAAGCTAACATGAGAAATGTAAAAAATAGATTTGGACCCTTGATAAATTTAAACAGTATTGATCTAATGGTTCAGATTAAATCTCAAAATAACCGATAAATTAACTTAGAAGAATCTGTTTTCTTTTGACCTTCAGCTAAAATTGATCCGAAGATGGAAATCTATTCTTACATTGTTATTTGTATCGTAAAGATTATATTTGAATAATTTGGTTGAGTGCAGGAAAATTAATTCACATAAATATTCAAGATCATGTATTGTATGATACATTAATTACTTAACAAGAAAGGAAAATAAAATTTATATATTAATTAATTAACAAAACTTGGTGGCTACTCCACTTGGAGCCATGCAAATCAAGAGTGGCCACGAATTAACTCCATTTAATTTACAAAAATGAGAAGAAAAAAGAACTAATATAGCTTCTAATTGATAAGTAAAAAATGGGTTTCTAATTCTAAATATCGTGTTTATTTTTTTGGCATAAAAGCTTCAACTATAGTTCCATAAGAAATTGTCTTCTGGCCAGAATTCACCGGTTCCGGTGACGGTTCCGGTGATCTTCTCCGGCAATGCGTAGAAAATCCGGTTCCCCAGATCCATGAAGAGATCCGGCAAATCAAGAAATGGGTCATCTGTTATATTACTTTGAGGTGAAGATGAAGAACATGGAGGCTCATGAGGGTTTGGCTCAGATTCGTCTTTAAGGTTTCGAAGGACTAAAGTGGCCGCTTTGAGAGCCGCGGCTTGGATGTCTCTAGGGGAATTGGAAGCCGGCTTGGGAAACTGATGAGCGAGTTGGGGGAAGTTGAGGATGGCTGAGTGACCTTTGATTGCGATTGCTGCTACGTCATGGGCTCGAGCCGCCATCTCTGGGGTGTCAAAGGTTCCTAGCCATATTCTTGACTTTTTCTTTGGTTCACGAATTTCCGACACCCATTTGCCCCAGCTCCTCCGTCTGACGCCACGGTAGACTGGGTGTTCTCCATGATCAATAACGTCGGGTTTCTTGGCCTTTTTGTTAACTTCGTCGTTGAATTCCCCGTGTTTTGGGCGTTTAGTGGTGGTGGAAATGGAGGAGGAGGTGGTGGTGGTGGTGGTGGTGGAAGTGGAGGAGGAGGAGGTGGTGGTGGTGGTGTGATTCATGTTATTCTAGAATGGTGGTAGTAGGTGAGGATAGGAGAGCATGTGGGGAAGTAAGCTTGGAGTTATTGTACAGGAATATGAGCAAGTCTCATTCTTATATATAATCCTTTCTTTCTCTTTTCTTCTTTTTTCTTTTCCTTTTTCTTTCTTCTTCTCTCATTCATATATATATATATATATATATATATATATATATATATATATATAGGG